TGTGTGTGTGTGTGTGTGTGTGTGTGTGTGTGTGTGTGTGTGTGTGTATTCTGTTGGTCTCTGATTAACACCTCAACTTGAGTTTGAGATGATGTGAGTTCTAGAGAAAAAAACCAACAAAACAGGAAATGAGAGGAGAAGAAAGCGATACAAAGAGAAGGAACCGCTTTGTTATCAACAGAGACAAACACACTGAGAGGTAGTGTGGACAGAGTTAGAGAAACTCAAAAAATAATAATAATAACGGACATAATTGGAAAAACTTGAGCTGCAGAAAATATAGGAAAATCCTGGTTTTATAAAGCTGTAATGTTCAAGGAATAGTTTCAAACTTAAAGAAGCGTATTTGCTCTCTTGCAGAAATATACGAATGCACCTGAATGTGTCTTAGTGTGCCCGTCTATTTTTTCTTCTTACCAACAAGATCCCACTCCCCGTTGGGTATGTAGGTGGAGATGTCCACGTCCATCATCTGGAGGTCCAGCAGCCAGCCGTTGTGTGTCCAGGAGCCGAACTTCAGGTCACACTTCTGCACATCGAATGGGAACCAGCGTACATCGATGTAGCAGGTGCTCTTCAGGATGCCTTGAGAGATTATTATTATTACATTAAGTTACTGTCTGCACTTTGCTCAATTTGTTTCAAATCTAATTGATGCATCGCAAAGCAATACATCACATCGCTGTAAACAAACTTATAAAAGTGTAATTTTTGGTGTTTTTGTAAGAAAAATACACGGGGTCAAATCATACCTTCATCTTTATCAATATATTTTCAGTCACTAAAAAAATCATTATTTTAAAGGATTAATTGAACTGAAACATTTTAACTATAATTAATTCATAATTAACATTAAAGTAATCTGAGTAATCAGAATGCTTTGCTGATATAATAATCTATGGTTAAAATAGTTTGAACGTGTTTAGAAGTATAGCTCACACATCATTATCTTTACATAATGGAAAAGCAATAAAGTTTGCATGAAATATCTCACCTGGTGGGATGTACTGGCAGGATCCTGAAGCATTTACGAGCACGTTTGTATGGAACGTAGCATCAAACCTCTCATCAGCACTGCAGGGAGAGAACATGGATCATGTAAAAAAAGCACCAGAACAAGGTAGATGGGAAGACTTCTATGAAAAAGAGGAGAAAGAGGAGTAGACGGGCCAGAGGTTACGAAGTTAAGAACCAAAGCAAAGATGAAAAAAAAACAATAAACCTCAAGTGAAATGAAGGCGACAGAGACGGGCAGAGACGGGGGATTAGTGGAGATCCAGACAGACAACTTGACTTATTAACTTGAACAAACATGGTTGTCTGCCATGTCCTTCAAACAGATGATGGACACCCAAAAACCAAAGTACAGACATCATAATCACAACATTATACAAAAACACCGCTGGAATATTACAACATTAATCTTTTTTCTTTAAGTCAAACCGAAGGATCTACAGATCTCTACATATCTGATAACATAAACAACATAAAGTGTCCTTCTGCATTCATTGCAAGACTTCCAGAACTGCCATTCATGGAACCTCCAAAGCAATTCATTTAGCTCAAAGTCTAAACTCACAGCAGTGAAGAGAAACAACAAAAGCAAATCCGTGGGAGAAGTGTAATAACCTGCTTAACACACTTACAAAATGAATATCATTTTGTAAGTGTGTTGCTCCATAAAAAAAGCCCTAAAAAAGATTTGAGTACAGAATACAGTGCTTCAATATACACCGGCTCAATGAACATGTCAGTTGAGAGTGGTCAGTGACACAATAAGAAAAGACTACATAAATACAGGGTGTATTTATGTTCAAATGAAGTTATGGCATTTTAGTAAAAAAGTGTTCAGTGACGATACAAGATGCACTTTCTTTGTATTTGTTATTAAGTGCATGTCAGCTCAGTATCTCAGTATCTCCTGAGTGATTATGTGCAATGCAAATACCTTTTGAAGTAGTTTTGATGTCATTTGTCCGCTGAGTTATCAATATGTTATGTACATGTGAGACTATCGGGTGGTACACAGCACAACAGCACAAGTTGTATTTTCAGCTCTATTTTTACATGTTCATGAAAAAAGAAAGATTATTGCAATATATTGCAATGTGTATCATTTCATATCTCAATATATCGCGATCTATCGTATTCTGACACGTGTATCGCGATACGTATCGTATCGTGAGGTGCTTGCCAATACACAGCCCTACTGTACATCAGTTCTGTACCCGACTGTTCCCATGCAACCCGCTAGACAGAGCCACACATTGAGAGTCCCTGCTGTAACAAAGGAACAGATATTGCTTCTTTATTTAGTTTAACGTGTGACGTACTGAGACAAACCGCGCAGTGGGCAGAGTCAGTCTGCCCCTTCCCTGCCCCATGGTGGGAACGCGTGTGCGGTAAGACATATAGGCTAAAGGCCTCTTTAAAGGCCGAGTCTTTGATTCAAAATGAGTGACTAACTCCTCAGGGTCCGCAAGATGTGCCTTTGCATACAAAGTGGACACTTTGTATGCAAAGGCACATCTTTTTACATCTGTTCCAAACAGCCACACTTGAAGGTAAGACAGACCTCGCTGGCGAGACAGTGAGTCATACAAACAGAAATAAGGGGATACGCTGTTGGACAGTTTCTGCTCAAGATCGTTCATGTTATTGCACAAAGTAATGGACTTTCACACCTTCACACACAGATGGTCGACTAGCTTTGGAAACCTTCTCCCACCAAACCTTTCCAATGGGAATTGGGCGTCTGTCCGACAATTTATATAACTTTCCGTAAACTACAAGTCGACAGTCACACTGCGTGAGTAATGAGTTGTGTGGAAATGACGAAGAAGCCGGGGTTTGAACCTCTCTGCTCTTCTATTTCTTGACAAAACTATTTTAATCACTTTTCATGTGAACAACCAAAAGCAACGAATGGTTTCATGGTGTTCAGCTGTTATCCAAACAATATCACATCTCAGCAGGCAGAAATTACTGGACAAGTTTTCCTGGTTCTTTTAAAAGTGCTCTCACGGTTCTGGTTCTTTTCTGAAGTCTTGCTGCTGATGGCCTAATCTACAGATGGAGATCAGTAAAATGTAATCTTATCTCATAGTTTTAATCTCTCTTCCTGCTCTCTTGCTTCATTAAAACAGAGATGAATGACTGTAATCATGATTTATGATGCATGCATAAGGAATGTCAGTTTCAATCTGTGTCTGTTTCAGGACGATATCGTCGTTATCGTTAGCGATCGCTGATCCCCACTGTGAGCTGCCTAATGCTCCGTAACATCCTTGTTAGATAGCCAAACCTTTCCCTACTCTCTTTCTGTCACGCATACACTTACATGGGGAAAACCGTCACTGCATTTTATTTAATGTCTTTGTTCCAGAATAAAAAACGGGATCTTCTCGAGCCAAACAAGTTCAAAACACAGAACTGTCGTACAAGGTAAGCATGTTTTATTCTACTTCATTAGTTTGACAGGCCTTACGCCTATTGTCCATTTGGACACTGCGTTCCATTATTACTTCCCATAGTTTTGATTAAAGGACTTAGATCACTGATACGAGACAAAGTCAGGTGATTCCATTGGATGAACCACACAGGGGTGCATTGTTTTTATCCCAGTAAGTCACAGCTGTTTAAATGTTCTGGATGACATTTGTTTACCACGTAGGCCGCCGTCTGTGAATAATGTCAGCAGGCGGCTCGTTTTTGAGGACAGAATTGGACATATTCTTTTAATATGCACAAAAGCATCTACACAAAATACACTGGCCAATCAGCAATCAGCTCAGTGGCAAACTGGAGAGATGCTTGAATTGTTCCGAGCAGGTATCGACCACGTTGAGACATCATGTATTTTGCCATAAATGAAAGTCCCATTCTTTGACAAAAGTATGAAACGTGCAGAGCTCAGCCAGATGCATGTTTCCAATTAGAACTGTAGTTTAAATAAATAACTAAAATATTGGATAGAAATAAAGGTACATTACAGAAATCTCTGTTGACATGTGCAGCCGCCTGGCACAGTGTTCTCAGTCGTCTAACTCCCACAGCCCATTGCAGGCAACAGATGCAAAGCCCCATGGGAGTTGTGGTTTACGTCCTCAGAGGGAATCGGCTCAATCACCTCATTAAACGAGGCTTTAACAAAGAGGGACATTTCATCTGGGGAGCAGGCTTCAGACAGTCTAGAGTATCCGTCGATGTAATATAGAAAACAAATTCATAAACGGAGGAAGAAGAGAGAAAGAGAGCGCAGTAAACAACGTATACAAATAAGAAGCATGCTAAATATAATGAAATGGCAAAAGCAGTGACCGATTAACCGCTGTGCTGATCACAGCAGCCACTGATAGAATTACTCTCTGTATCCCTTCCTGAATATCACAATACGTTAGAAAACAACCATTCTAATTCTAATGTAAGAGGAAAACTATTTTATATGCAACATGGTGCGATGATCAATCACTGTCAGTGTAAAGTAGAGAGATTCTGACAGCCTGTGGAGTAGAGATTCATTATGAAATCATTATATTAATACTAATGTGACATTAAAAAATATTTGATTTTATTTCCTGAACTGGCTAGCTTCAGATGTATAGAAGTAGTATTAAGTAGTATTTAACCAATAACACTTTAAAATCAACTCTCACATAACAGATGTATGAATGCAGCGATTGGGTAGCATTAGGTGGGAGGGAGGAATACAAAGCAAGGGTCATGAGATGAGACCCGGCGAGTAGTGTGTGAGGATACCTTACCTGTTGTAGAGCAGGATATCTGGGACCCATACCAGATTAGAAGGGAAGCGCAGGTTCTGAACCCCAGGGTAGCTCTCTTGATTCCATGAAAGGTAAACGTCCGTCCAATACTGACACAACAATAGAGTGAGACGGTGAGTGAAGGGCATCGTCACCAGCACACACAGATAAGTCAGCAAATGACACGACAGTTGAGAAATAAACAGATGTTGAACAAAAATGAAAAGAATGCCGAATTCAAGACTCATCTGTTTTTGGTTTGTATCCCAGACGGGAGAGCCAAGTTGTTGTTGTTTTTTAGTATAGTGTTGTTACGATGCCACGCAAACTGCATATATATATATCCTGTGCGTCACAGCATCTTTCCTTTTGCCAGGCTAATATTTCAGCAACTCTTACAGCTTGTCTGAGGCCTGGCACTGACCCCTGCACTCCATACTGAGCAAGGGGCTCACTGAGCCCAGCGTCGTAGCGTTTGAAGGCAAAGGGAGCGAGTGTGTGTTGCCTGCTTGCCTCTTTTCATGACTTTCAATCCATATCAAGATGATGTGTGAGATGTGGAATGGCACAAATATGAGCGTGTGTTTTTGCATTTAAGCACATTCGTATGTGTTTGTTACTGTTGTTTCTGTGTGTGTGTGTGTGTGTGTGTGTGTGTGTGTGTATAGCAAATGTATAAAACTCATATAGATGTAGTCACTCAGATGTTGTAGCCAATGGGCACATTCTCTATGGAGCAAACACAGTGTCATTGCTAATGTGTCCTCTGTCCACTGGGCACATCTGTTTGCACATACAAACGTGTGCATGTCTTTGTGCATGCATGCTCATATGCGTATGGATAGTGTGCAATGTGTATGTTTGTGTTTGCATGAATGTGCTCTTGGGATTGATAATGTGAGCATGTTTCCGTGCACATGCCGATGCATATGTGCCTCTGTCCATATAAGTGACTTTAAAACCAACAGCAATCCGTTACAGATGGTGTCTGACTTGAACAATTTCAAAGAGGTGCCATCCATCTGAAGTGGGCCTGCTGACACATGTCTCCACTCACGCAGCTAATGACTTAATCACTGCACTTGTCGTCTGTGGGCCTTGGCTGTTTGGTGCTACAGAGCCTTCCTTTCATGTTGTTCCCGTTGGCTTGGAATGCACAACTAACAGCCAACAGAACAACTTACAGCTCACCAACTCCGGAGTCTTTCAGGAACAGACAAGGAGGACGCTAGGCTACGTAAGGTAACGGCTTTCTAAGAATAGGTTTGGAGTTACATAACCGAAAGTTAAGAAAGCGTCACTAATTTGAAACAACTAGGTTCTCATTTAGAGATTGTGCAGTTCTTTGTCTGAATGCAAGATTTAGGATGAAAGGTCTTTATTTATCACTCTTCCAAGACAAGTTTACAGAATAGTTGAGCAGATAATTAAATATAGGACCGATTGCCTTTTCTTATTTGTAATGACCTTCTGTGCATCTTTTCAGTGCACATCATATCCTCCCAACACATCTGCTGCCAAAGCCTCCTTAGCCAGAGCAGTCAGTACACGGTTTCAGAGAGATGATATAGTGTGCATGTCATGTAAATATAAAATACATTTTATATTTACACACACAACATTTGCATTTAAGAGTGAATTCTGCTGATCTGTAGATTATTAAGATTCACAGCCACACGGCTCCTGGAAAGATACTGACACAATTTGAGCACCAAAAACACAATTCCATTTACCTTCATTATATTCGGATGCAGGCAGCGATATCTGAGATCAACATATTGAAATCTGGGTAGAACTATTTTTTGATAATTTGGGTGAACTGACCCTTTAAATGTCACTCTTCCAACAGCCATAAGAGCTGTCTATAGAGGAGAAGAGAAAAGTAACTTAAGCTCATGACAATTCCCACAGTTAAAAACACATAAAGCCTCTCCATCCGGAGGTGGGGCATTCAATGCCAGCATAAACCTGTAATCTTAAAATCCTCTTGGTTGAAGCGAAGGGGAACCTGACCCTTCTCCGCCTGTCTGAGCTTCTTAATGTACTTCTCAAGTCTCCTTCAAAATCTGCTGCATCTGCAAAGCCCCCCTAAGCCACCACACCAAAGTGGACGCTCATTAACGAGGTGGCTTCCTGAATAATTCATTCATTCATAACTTGTAAGCCAGTCAGCAACCAACTGAAACTGAATGAGTGTAGGCTGTGACATCCTTGAAGGGCTATTCTGACTCGGGCTGCTGTGATATGAGGCTGTTGTACCTTCTTGGCTGATCTGACATTTTCCTGAGCATTGTAATATTGCATATTTCCTGTTCCGTTAACTTCATTTCACCTTTCACCAATTTTAGAAACCTGAAAAATGAAACTTGTTATATGAGACAGACACAGAGCAGTGTGCTTGGAGTGGATCTTACTGTGCTTAAAGTAGTTAAATAACTACTTTCATAGTCCTTAACTTAACTTCATTTCACCTTTCCATAATGGGATAGCTGTGCTGTAGCTGAGCTAAGTGGCTTCGTTTCCACATGCCTAGATGGCAGTACTTGATGCTGCTAAACCTGCACAAATAAGAAAAACTAAAAAACATGCATTTCTCAAAGCTCCAGCAAAGTGTGAAAGGCAGCAGTAACTGTGCGTCTTAGTGCTCCTGAGCTACTGAGCGTGCATGGGGGTGTAGTAATAGCAATACTCTGCATTAAAGAGTTTGGAAGGTTGTGCCTTTCCAAAAACAAAAAGACAAAAGAAAACAATGTTGATGATGTACTGACTTCCTAGAACGTGGAGGCTCCGCCTCTTTTAAACTCTTTTAGCACGGTTTCATTTATTTGGCCATAAAGTGCAGAGAACTATTAAAAAGACCTTTCTCGTTTAAAAACGGGTCAACCAGAGACATCGCTGTGGACCAACTCGTGAAGCTAATGTGAGCTTAATTAGTTAGCCACTGCTAGAGAAGCAGCTGTGATCTCAGCTCATTCAATGTTTACCAGGAAGAGATGTCAATTAAATCATTTACATTTGGAGGAATCAATCTGCAATGTTATTTTTGGGCCGAACGGAACACTTAGGTGCATAACAACAGCAGCCAATATAATATATAAACACTTAATACATTGTCCTGAGATAATATCTTTCAAATGTGATATTTTCATCCTCATTTTCGTGCGACAGGATGATGGCCTGTTTATCATAAGAGAATAGATAATAGACCCACAACAGGTCATTTTTGACATAACCGAATGTTACTGCTTTTAACACATCATGACGTTTGACACATAAACTTAAGGATCTTGTAAAGTCTTTAGTCACATGAAGCCCTGGAGATTCACTCATATATACGATGTTCTTATTCATACATGTTTTTGTTGGTCACAGAAAACATCTTCACATTCACAGAAAAGGTTATTGGTTGCAGCTCTATGCCTTCAAATGCAGTTCGATGTGAACACCTTTTGAAAATGCATGAATAAACGTCAGAGGCCCGTAGGACACAAACAATCTCCAAAAATAAACCAAATGATAGCAGTGATCACACAAACAGTGCATGAAGAGCGGACGTACCAGCTGCAGCCAGGCGTTCGTGATCATCACCTGGTTCTTTTCATCCTGCAGGGGAAGGAGGGAAGAGATAAGAGAGTAATCAGCATGGAGGACACATTGCTGTGGACAGATAGTGAGGGAATTATTCTGCAACGTGAGAGGAAAAGTTAAATAAAAACTGCACGTCTGGTAAACACGAGGGAGGGTATGAGACAGATCGAGAATGAAGTCAAACTGCAGCTCAGACTCAGAGCTGACGTGCTCTCTGAATGACAATCACGCACTCAGCTTCTCCTCTTCTACGGCACTCTTGTGATGTAAGCTAGAAGAAGTCACAATTCATAGACAATAAGGAAAGAAACAAAAGAAATAAAATAGGACAAACAGCAATGTGCACAGGAAAGAGACATTGACATTGAGCAGAGGCTCTTCAACAAAGAGATGCGTTTACAGCATTTATATCTACGACGTGAAAACAAAACAATGAACAGACTCTTGCTCCAGCTGCATTTCATTATCCAGCGGTCAGTTCATGGTCAAATGACCGGAGAGAACATGAAGGGGAAACGTGGACGGAGGGACAGTAAAGAGGAGAGTGAGAGGAATCAAGAGAGAGAGAGAGAGAGTCAGAACAGACAGAGGTTGAGATCATGAGTCAGCAAAGAGAGAAAAACAAGTCAGGAGTAGAGCCACAAGGAAGAAGAGCAAAGAAGTTCAGTGTGAGATTGGACTTCTTCAGAGTCTGTTTAGCACAATCCTACATGACAGCGACAGGTGTTACTCCTTGTTGCACACTGAACGCTGTGCGTGTGACGGATTACCTCCCTCTCACTGCTCAACAGCATAATCTATCGTCTTTCTTCATGGATTATTCATTTTTCATCACTTCGGGGATTTATCTCGTTATCCTCTCCTCAGACCTGATCTAATGTATAGTTTTCTTTCTTTGCACACAGTTTCATATGAATCTTGCTCGTTGCAGTTTGCTTTTCTTCCCTCTCGGGACACAATTTTAGAAACCTGAAAAATGAAACTTGTTATGTGAGACAGACGCAGAGGATCTTGCTGCTTAAAGTAGTTAAATAATTACTTTCATAGTCCTTTACAGCGGAGCAATGCCTTCAACTTCATGGAAGTAACGTTAATGTTTCCAATTAGTTAATTAGTAAATGAGATAAAAATGTCAAAGCCACGAATATGCTGCTTTTGAAGGTGTTCCTGAATATATGTACAGTATTTTCAGGTTCTTGTACATGACTTCAGTATTTCCATTTCATGCTTTTTATAAACTTCTACTACATTTCAGTTTCAGATTTTACACGTGAGAATGTGAGATAAAATACACGTTTTTGTCTTGTAACCCACCACAAAAAAGTAAATGTCACATTTCACATGTCCATCAGTTGTTAGCAGTTCCACCAAAGAGTGATGCTATCGCTACCATCAGTGGAGCAGCATGAAACCCTTTGCAGGATGTGAATCACGCCGCCACATGCTTGCACATGCTTTGTCTCTCTCCCTGGAGTTTCTCTCCATGCTCCTCAGAGAAAGGGTTGGTGATGGGATGGATGAGTCAAACAAGCAGCAGGAGAACATGTTCATGCCCCGTGTGAAAGCAAGAGTCAACACGTTGAGTTATTTTAAGCTGTGTATGTAATTATGTTGGCACGTAACAAACACACACAAACCGTGATCTCTTCCTAAACCCAACCAAGTAGTTTGTTCAACAATTTTAACCACATTTTTTTTAAACTGCCACCGTCTGACAACGTTAAATAGAACGATGATTCATGTCATTCTGGGAGTTATTGGCCTCCTCCCTAACTCTC